CCTGTGCAGTTTTTATTTTTGCGCTATAAACAAAAAAAAAGGCCAACAAGTTTGAAAAAAAAAAAAGTTTTATGACCTTTTGCAGGTAAAGCAATTTTAAAAAAATCAAATTTCACGATCAATTTAGGCCAAAATGTATTCTGCTTCATGTCTTTTGCTAAAAGCTGTAGCTGGCAGGGAGGGCTGTTAGTAAACCCTCCCCGTCAGTGATCATTGGAAATAACCGGGCTCTGGCAAGTAATTACCATCCGGACCCGGTGATTGACAGCCATGAATGGCGGCATGAGTAGGGCGCTCTGGTGTGCCCTCTACCCGGAAATGCAAAATCGTGTATATATTCGTAGTTTTGTGCACCGTGCTGCCTTGTAGCAGTATTTCTGCTATAGGGCGGTCAGGAAGCGGTTAATACATTTTCAATAAATTATTGTATTTTATTGCTATTATTTATTTCCCAGATCCAATCACTGATAAAATCGTGTAAATTCACCTTCGCAACATCTCCAAGATACGCCCGTTCCTAACCTCGGAAACCACTAAGCAACTTATTCCCTCCCTTGTTATCTCTCGCCTTGACTATTGTAACTCCCTCTTCATTGGCCGACCTCATCGCAGGCTATCCCCCCTTCAGTCTGTCATGAATGCTGCTGCCAGACTCATCCACCTTACTAACCGTTCTGTATCTGCCATCCCTCTCTGCCAATCCCTCCACTGGCCTCCATTCAGTGTCCTCCACCCCTCTCTGCCAATCCCTCCACTGACCTCCACTCAGTGTCCTCCACCTCTCTCTGCCAATCCCTCCACTCAGTGTCCTCCACCCCTCTCTGCCAATCCCTCCACTGGCCTCCATTCAGTGTCCTCCACCCCTCTCTGCCAACCCCTCCACTGGTCTCCACTCAGTGTCCTCCACCCCTCTCTGCCAATCCCTCAATTCAGTGTCCTCCATCCCTCTCTGCCAATCCTTCCACTGACCTCCACTCAGTGTCCTCCACCCCTCTCTGCCAATTCCTCCACTCAGTGTCCTCCACCCCCCTCTCTGCCAACCCCTCCACTCGTCTCCATTCAGTGTCCTCCACCCCTCTCTGCCAATCCCTCCAGTGGCCTCCACTCAATGTCCTCCATCCCCCTCTCCCAATCCCTCCACTGGCTTCCAGTTGCCCAACGGATGAAATTCAAAACATTAACACTGACGTATAAAGCCATCCACAACACTGCCCCAAATTACATCACTGATCTTATCTCTAAATATCGCCCAAACCGCCCTCTCCCGCTTCTCGTAAGACCTCCTGCTCCCTAGCTCCCGTGTCTCCTCCTCCCATGCTAGTCTCCAGGACTTCTCCAGAGCTTCCCCCATCCTCTGGAACCCCCTACCCCAATTTATCAGACTATCACCTACTCTGCTCACTCTTAGGCGATCACTGAAAACCTCTCTCTTCAGGGAAGCCTATCCTGCCCTCAGCTAATATTGCAATCCTCTACTCTTCCAACCACTCCATCCCCCACAGCTATTACGTTTTGTACCACTAGCTCCTCCCTCCTAGATTGTAAGCTCCAAGGATCAGGTCCCTCAAATCCCTCATGTATTGAACTGTATTGTTGCTGTATTGTCTCCCGTTATATTGTAAAGCGCTGAGCAAACTGTTGGCGCCATAAATCCTGTATAATAATAAAAATAATAATACATTTTCTGGTTTGTAAAGGGACGCTGCCCTAAAAGTCACATTTCTAGGGGAATTTTCTTTTTTTTTTATAGTAATGGTAGGGATGCTGGCAGCTTCAGACCCTTTTCAGCAATCTATTTTATTATTAGGGTTGGTGTTTGGTAGCCCTGCACCACTGGTCAGAGGCTTTAACACTTGACCAACAGATCTCTATCCAGAATTCAAAGCCAGGGACTCATCAGATCTCGACTAGTTTGCCCCGGCCAAAACATACTTGCAGGTTCTTCCCCTACCTGGGAACATGCTGGGGGAAGGGGGGGGGGTTTACTGGCTGTAGAAAAAAGGTCAAAAGCCAAAAACAGCCGCTGTACAAACGTCCCATGTGCAGGAGGACTCAACGTTAAATACTTCTAAAAGGGATGCAGACCCTGCAGCTTTTCTTATCAGAACAAAATCCCTGTAAAATTGATCATGCCAGTGACACAGCGTTGTGGGGGGGGCAGTCGGTACAGTCGCCCTAGGTGCAACATTTGGAGGGGCGCATAAATCAGTCCCGCCACCTCGAGTGTTCTGGGTCCAACGTAGACCAAGCAATCATCTACATCTTGAGAGGAGCACAGCTCTAGGTGTCACAGAACAGATGCCACTCCTTTCATTGCTGGGCGGTGTCACGTGTGTGTATGAATCGGAAAAGGGGAGGAGCTGTGGCGGCAGGTTAAAGGAGGAAAGGAGCGGGACTGTGAAGGGCAGGTTAGGGGAGATGCGGGGCTGTGTGGAAGTAAGAGGGGTGGGTCAGGGGAGGAGCAGAGGTGACAGAGGCGGAGTGGAGTCCATAGTAGGAAGTGTCCCCTGTGTCACTCTCAGTGACACCATGGTGGCAGTGGTGTTTTTAGGATTTGTGCTGCCCTAGGCAACACAAAAATCGGCGCCACCCCCATAGAGAGAGCCTGACCAGGGACGGACTGACCATTTGAGTCCCGGGGTCAGTAGGGGGCCCCATGAAATGCCCCTGGCACCTTTTTAAAGGCTTTTTTTGGGTGTGCTTTGAGTGTGGGCAAGGACACAGGGGCCCCATGATCCCCTATTGCCTGGGGGCCCCATGAGTTGTCAGTCCGCCCCTGAGCCTGACATTGGCCAACAACACCCATGCCTCCCACCCAAGAGAGCCTTCCACTACCACTGCTCCCATACACCAGCCACCATCCCCCATGGTGAGAGAGAGAAAGACACTCACCTTCACAGCTCCGGACATCCCCGGGAACGAGAGTCGGGCTGTGCATACACCGTTATGAAACCAGCAGCATCTCTCGGAACCCACCAGGTCCCCATACAGCTTGTGTCCCTTCTTTCGAGGGGCAGTGCTGCCCCCCAAAAAAATGCCGCCCTAGGCAAATGCCTTGTTTTCCTTGTGGTAAAATACACCCCCACATGGTGATGTGTACTCAAGCCTCCTGCTCTGGGCTCCTGGAGTCCTAAGGAGCGCCGCTCATGACCAGGCGGTGCTGGTGATGAAGAAGACGGGGAAGGAAGTGACCCTGGAAGATCAGGAGTCTAGGCATTGACCCCTCTGACCCCTCCACCTCCACCAAACCATGACCCTAGTGGAAGGGTTTCAAGGAGTGCTAACAGTCCATGGGTTGGGGGGCACAAAATATTTTCCTTGCCTGACAACCCACGCTACGCCACTGTATCACGCAGAGGGGATGGGGGAAAGCAGAGTTATTCCTCACCATACAGATGACCACTAGAGGGGGCAATTTTACATCCGCCTATGATCTGTAACAATAAAAATATGGAACGGAAAACAAGTACAAATGTTCCAAGAATGGCTCCCGGTGCGCAGTTACCGAACGCTCACTGTACTTTTTCTTTAACAAGCTAGTGAGAACAGTTTCCCTGCCCCCGCCGGCTCTATCGCCGTGAGATTAAAAGACGCAAGAGAAGTGTACCGACCTGCGTAATGATGAAAGGGGCTCCAAACAAGACTGGCAATGCTGTGGCTGGGGACATGGGAAATGTACAGCCTGCAGACACTATTGTCACAGCAAATTAAACCCGCTAATAAGCCGATCCGGCTTCCACTGTCTCTGACTGTATGGCCGTGGGAAGAACGCTTTAGTTCGCGATGGGGATCCCGATTTTTTTTTTTTTGTTACAGCCACTCTCACAATTTATGTTCATGAGGGTTTCATAGCTTTAATTAACTGTAACCAATTAAATGATTTGTTTGGTTAGTGGGTTGGTTCAATTAGGATTTCATTAGGCTTTAAAATGTGGCGGATATTTGTTTTTTTCTTTTATGTATCTATTTCATCTGGTTTTTTTTCTGTCTTTCTATCTCCTCTCAGATCTGATGAAATCAAGCCATCCATTATTCAGATTCAGACAGAGCAACCCAGAACTGCCCAATGCTGCATAGCCAATCCAAGAGATGGAAGGCCAAGAAGAGATTTTTGTTGTGATTCCTGATACAGACACTGAGAGAGGGAGATCCTGCCACGGGACCATTTATTTGGCAGCAATTAGTGGATAGGCTGCATTCTCAGTGATGTCACCGCTCTCTAGTGAATGGATAGGCTGCATTCTCAGTGACGTCACCGCTCTCTAGGGAATGGATAGGCTGCATTCTCAGTGATGTCACCATTGTCGAGTGAATGGATAGGCTGTATCTTCAGTGATGTCACCGTTGTTTAGTGAATGGATAGGCTGCATTCTCAGTGATGTCACCGTTGTTTAGTGAATAGATAGACTGCATTCTCAGTGATGTCATCTTTCTCTAGTGAATGGATAGGCTGAATTCTCAGTGATGTCATCGCTCTCTAGTGAATGGATAGACTGCATTCTCAGTGATGTCATCTCTCTCTAGTGAATGGATAGGCTGCATTCTCAGTGATGTCCGGACATCCAAAAGCCTGGAGACTGCTGCCTGGTGATGCCATCTTGGATGTGATGTCAACAGCCCCACTAGACTCAGAGCTGTTATTCAAGTGATGCTGTATTGTAGCCATTCTCACCCAGGATTCAGTGGAACCTTTGAGGTTCCTAGGGGTTCCTTGAGCTGCTTCATATAGATCACCCATCTGACGGTGTCTCCTTTGTCCCTGAGTGATTTCTCTTGGCAAAGTCAGCTGTTTGACACCAATAATCTTTTTAGCTGTCTGTTTACCTGGCATTCTGATCACCACTGCAAGGGAAGCATGCTTTCCACTGACCATCAATACATGGAACATTCTTCCAACTGACAATGTAAGGAGCATTCTTCCCACTGACCTCCAATGTAAGGGGCATTCTTCTCAATGACCCCCAATGTAAGGGACATTCTTCACAGTGACCCCCAATGTAAGGAGCATTCTTCCCACTGACCCCCAATGTAAGGAGCATTCTTCCCATTGACTCCCAATGTAAGGAGCGTTCTTCTCATTGACCCCCAATGTAAGGAGCATTCTTCCCACTGACCCCCAATGTAAGGGACATTCTTCCCACTGACCACCAATCTAAGGGATGTTCTTCACACTGACCACCAATGTAAGGAACATTCTTCCCACTGACCACCAATGTAAGGATCATTCTTCCCACTGACCACCAATGTAAGGGACATTCTTCCCACTGACCCCCAATTTAAGGGGTATTCTTCCCACTGACCACCAATGTAAGGGGCATTCTTCTCACTGACCCCCCAATGTAAGGAGCATTCTTCCCACTGACCCCCAATATAAGGGACATTCTTCCCACTGACCACCAATCTAAGGGACGTTCTTCACACTGACCACCAATGTAAGGGACATTCTTCCCACTGACCCCCAATGTAAGGAGCATTCTCCCCACTGACCACCAATGTAAGGGGCATTCTTCTCACTGACCCCCCAATATAAGGAGCATTCTTCCCACTGACCCCCAATATAAGGGACATTCTTCCCACTGACCACCAATCTAAGAGACGTTCTTCACACTGATCACCAATGTAAGGAGCATTCTTCCCACTGACCCCTAATGTAAGGGACATTCTTGCCATTGACCCCCAATTTATGGGGTATTCTTCCCACTGACCATCAATGTAAGGGGCATTCTCACTGACCCCCCAATGTAAGGAGCATTCTCCCCACTGACCAACAATGTAAGGGGCATTCTTCTCACTGACCCCCCAATGTAAGGAGCATTCTCCCCACTGACCACCAATCTAAGGGATGTTCTTCACACTGACTACCAATGTAAGGAACATTCTTCCCACTGACCACCAATGTAAGGGGCATTCTTCTCACTGACCCCCTAATGTAAGGAGCATTCTCCCCACTGACCACCAATGTAAGGGGCATTCTTCTCACTGACCCCTCAATGTAAGGAGCATTCTTCCCACTGACCCCCAATATAAGGGACATTCTTCCCACTGACCCCCAATATAAAGGGACATTCTTCCCACTGATCACCAATGTAAGGAACATTTTCCCACTGCCTTCCAATGTAAGGAGCATTCTTCCCACTGACCCCTAATGTAAGGGGCATTCTTCCCACTGACCCCCAATGTAAGGGGCATTCTTCCCACTGACCCCCCAATGTAAGGGACATTCTTGCCATTGACCCCCAATTTAAGGGGTATTCTTCCCACTGACCCCAAATGTAAGGGGCATTCTTCCCACTGACCCCCAATGTAAGGGACATTCTTGCCATTGACCCCCAATTTAAGGGGTATTCTTCCCACTGACCATCAATGTAAGGGGCATTCTCACTGACCCCCCAATGTAAGGAGCATTCTCCCCACTGACCAACAATGTAAGGGGCATTCTTCTCACTGACCCCCCAATGTAAGGAGCATTCTCCCCACTGACCATCAATGTAAGGGACATTCTTCCCACTGACCCCCCAATGTGAGGGGCATTCTTCCCACTGACCGCCAATATAAGGAGAATTCTTCCCACTGACCCCCAATGTAAGGGACATTCTTCCCACTGACCATCAATGTAAGGGGCATTCTTCCCACTGATCCCCAATGTAAGGGACTTTCTTCCCACTGACCCCCAGTGTAAGGGACATTCTTCCCACTGACCCCCAATATAAGGAGCATTCTTCCCACTGACCACCAATGTAAGGGACATTCTTCCCACTGACCCCCAATGTAAGGGACATTCTTCCCACTGACCCCCAATATAAGGAGCATTCTTCCCACTGACCCCCAATGTAAGGGACATTCTTCCCACTGACCACCAATCTAAGGGATGTTCTTCACACTGACCACCAATGTAAGGAACATTCTTCCCACTGACCACCAATGTAAGGGGCATTCTTCTCACTGACCCCCCAATGTAAGGAGCATTCTCCCCACTGACCACCAATGTAAGGGGCATTCTTCTCACTGACCCCTCAATGTAAGGAGCATTCTTCCCACTGACCCCCAATATAAGGGACATTCTTCCCACTGACCACCAATCTAAGGGACGTTCTTCACACTGATCAACAATGTAAGGAACATTCTTCCCACTGCCTTCCAATGTAAGGAGCATTCTTCCCACTGACCCCCAATTTAAGGGTTATTCTTCCCACTGACCATCAATGTAAGGGGCATTCTCACTGACCCCCCAATGTAAGGAGCATTCTCCCCACTGACCACCAATGTAAGGGGCATTCTTCTCACTGACCCCCCAATGTAAGTAGCATTCTCCCCACTGACCATCAATGTAAGGGACATTCTTCCCACTGACCCCCCAATGTAAGGGGCATTCATTCTTCCCACTGACTGCCAATATAAGGAGAATTCTTCCCACTGACCCCCAATGTAAGGGACTTTCTTCCCACTGACCCCCAATGTAAGGGACATTCTTCCCACTGACCCCCAATGTAAGGGACATTCTTCCCACTGACCATCAATGTAAGGGGCATTCTTCCCACTGATCCCCAACGTAAGGGACTTTCTTTCCCACTGACCCCCAATGTAAGGGACATTCTTCCCACTGACCCCCAATATAAGGAGCATTCTTCCCACTGACCACCAATGTAAGGGACATTCTTCCCACTGACCCCCAATGTAAGGGACATTCTTCCCACTGACCTCCAATGTAAGAAACATTCTTCTCTCTGACCGCCAATGTAAGGGACATTCTTCCCACTGATCACCAATGTAAGGGACATTCTTCCCACTGACCCCCAATATAAGGAGCATTCTTCCCACTGACCCCCAATGTAAGGGACATTCTTCCCACTGACCCCCAATGTAAGGAGCATTCTTCCCTCTGACCCCCAATATAAGGGACATTCTTCCCACTGTCCCCCAATGTAAGAGACATTCTTTCCACTGATCACCAATGCAAGGGACATTCTTCCCACTGACCCCCCAATGAAAGGAGCATTCTTCCCACTGACCCCAAATATAAGGGACATTCTTCCATCTGACCCTCAATATAAGGGACATTCTTCCCTCTGACCCCCAATATAAGGGACATTCTTCCCACTGACCCCCAATATAAGGAGCATTCTTCCCACTGACCACCAATGTAAGGGACATTCTTCCCACTGACCCCCCAATGAAAGGAGCATTCTTCCCACTGACCCCAAATATAAGGGACATTCTTCCCTCTGACCCCCAATATAAGGGACATTCTTCCCACTGTCCCCCAATGTAAGGGACATTCTTCCCACTGATCACCAATGTAACGGACATTCTTCCCACTGACCCCCCAATAAAAGGAGCATTCTTCCCACTGACCCCAAATATAAGGAGAATTCTTCCCACTGATCACCAATGTAAGGAACATTCTTCTCACCGACCACCAATGTAAGGGACATTCTTCCCACTGACCACCAATGTAAGGAACATTCTTCTCACCGACCACCAATGTAAGGGACATTCTTCCCACTGACCCCCAATGTAAGGGACATTCTTCTCACCGACCACCAATGTAAGGGACATTCTTCCCACTGACCCCCAATGTAAGGGACATTCTTCCCACTGACCCCCAATGTAAGGGACATTCTTCCCACTGACCACCAATGTAAGGGACATTCTTCTCACTGACCACCAATGTAAGGAACATTCTTCCCACTGACCACCAATGTAAGGGACATTCTTCCCACTGACCCCCAATGTAAGGGACATTCTTCTCACTGACCACCAATGTAAGGAACATTCTTCCCGCTGACCACCAATGTTAGGGACATTCTTCCCACTGATCACCAATGTAAGGGACATTCTTCTCACTGACCACCAATGTAAGGGACATTCTTCTCACTGACCACCAATGTAAGGGACATTCTACTCACTGACCACCAATGTAAGGGACATTCTTCTCACTGACCACCAATGTAAGGGACATTCTACTCACTGACCACCAATGTAAGGGACATTCTTCTCACTGACCACCAATGTAAGGGGCATTTTTGCCTCCTGGTCAATTAGTTTCAGTAAAGGTTCCTCAAGGCCTGAAAATTATTTTAGGGATACTCTAGTATTCCCCTAAAGCGGTTGAGAAAGGCTGCTCTATGGAATACAGTACCTCTGCATTCATACCCTCCCTCCTTGCAGTTCCATAAAAGGTATGAAGGGAGGGGCAGAGGAGCTGGGCCAGCTATGATAGCAATTAGAGCCTCCTAAAAGAGGAGAGGAGTGTGGCATGATGTTGCTGTGGCTGTGATTAGGAATCATTTCTTCCTGAAATTCTCACATTTCCTAGCAAGTTCAAAGACATGTTGCAAGTTAATAAAAAAAATTGCTTATGGAAAGAAAAAAAACACTGCGAGTACGCATTTCAAATATATGATTGGCTATTGTGTCATTTAGTTTTGCCCTGAGACCTCTTTCTGCTTTTCTATTGCCCTGTTTATAACCAAAACTACCATGTAATATACTCGAGTGCCATTCAACAGTTGGATTTATAAAAATTTTTGTCGGTGTAGTGCAGTCTGCAAGGTTCTGCCGTTCATTCCCAATGTTGTACGAAGAGAAGTGATTAAGCTTTGTACGCGTTTCACCTTTTCGTAGGTAAATAGTAATTAGTATTCCACGATTCCACTCTCTTTCTGCTTCATCTTGTTATACTTTAATAAAGAAGTTGTCAGGGACCATCGCGACGCATGGGTCTACACATGCGTAGGCGTCTGTCAAGACATACAGGTAGCAGGGCACTAGGACCCAGGCGCACCCGTCGTCTTGACACTACTAGGCAGGCACTGGGACCTAGGTGGCGACTGTCAGGTGCAGGGCGGGCTACTTAAACCAGCCCTGCACAGAATCTTGTTGCCGAATGGTCTTTGTATCCTGTTGCCTGTGTAGTGAGTACTCTGATCTGGATTGTCTGACCTTGTTGCCTTCTCCTGTCCTGACCCCTTGGCTTGCCTGACTCTGCTCCTGGATGTTCCCTTATAGATCTGATCTTTTGGTATTGACCCTGCGTGTGACCCAACTATCCTTTGCCTATCGTCTTGTACCTCACCGACCCTCTAGTTACCGACCCAGCTTGTTTGACTCTGACTTTGCTCATCCGTCCATCCATCCCTCAGGGATCCCTGGGCTCCCTCACATCAGACTCTTAACCCGCTGGAGCCCTTGGCAGACTCCTCTACCTCCTGTAGAGATACCTAGCAGCTGCGACCTGGTCCCGGAGCGCTCCAAGTCCATCCCCACCATCAGGGGCCCTGGTGAACAAGTGCTCCGGTACTTAGACTCCGCATTCTGGGGAGGCTCTATCAGGGGACTGATAGAGGTACTGTCAGGCGGTCCGGTACAGAAGTATTTTCTCCTTTTCATCTGAATTTTGTAAGTATAACTAAATAACTAAAAGTATATCTAAATCCAAGAACACGCGTATAATGTATTTTATCTTACGGGTGTTCAGATGTGGTGGATGAATCTTTTTTTTTTGGAGTGAGATGGAAAAACACTTCGGAGAGCCCATTGGCTCAGGTTAGGCTGCTAACAACAGACATGGCTACCCTCCAGTGGGTACCCATATGGCTACCAGAAAAAAGAAAAAAATGGACCAGACCAAGTGATTAATTTATTGGTTTACAACAATGGTCTCCAAACTGTGGGCCCTTTGCTTGCTTTTATCCAGCCCTTGGGGCATTATTCCCCACACTTTAAGAAACAGTGGGGCATAGTTCTTTCCACTGACACCGACATTGGGGCACTGGTCCTCTTACTGATACCAATGATGAGGCACTATTCCTCCCACTGACACCAACAATGGGGCACTATTCCTTCCACTGACACCAATGTGGGACACTATTTCTTCCACTAAGACCAATGATGGGGCACTATTCCTCCCACTGACACCAATGATGGGGCACTATTCCTCCCACTGACACCAATGATGGGGCACTATTAGTCCTATTGACACCAACGATGGGGAACTATTCCTCCCACTGACACCAATGATGGGACACTTTTCCTCCCACTGACACCATCGATGGGGCACTATTTCTTCCACTAAGACCAATGATGGGGCACTATTCCTCCCACTGACACCAATGATGGGACATTATTACTCCTATTGACACCAACGATGGGGAACTATTCCTCCCACTGACGCCAACAATGGGGCACTATTTCTTCCAATGATGGGGCACTATTCCTCCCACTGATACCAGTGATAGGGCACTATTCCTCCCACTGACACCAATGATGGGGCACTATTCCTCCCAATAATACCAATGATGGAGCACTATTCCTCCCACTGACACCAATGATGGGGCACTATTCTTCCCACTGATACCAATGATGGGGCATTATTCCTCCCATTGACACCAATGATGTGGCACTATTCCTCCCAATAATACCAATGATGGGGCACTATTCCTCCCACTGACACCAATGATGGGGCATTGTTTACTTCCACTAATTCCATTACATTTTTTTCTCCCACTGGCCACAATCCAGACCCTCCAATGTTTGAAAGACACTAAAGTAGCCCTTTGTATAGAGAATCTGGAGAGCTCTGGTCGTCTTACTGATACCAATTGTGGGATACTATTGCTCCCACACTGACACCAACAACGGGGTACTATTCCTCCCACTCACACCAATGATGGGGCACTATTCCTCCCACTGATACCAATGATGGGACACTATTCCTCCCACTGACACCAATGATGTGGCACTATTCCTCCTACTGACACCAATGATGGGACACTATTCCTCCCACTGATACCAATGATGGGGCACTATTCCTCCCACTGATACCAATGATGGGGGACTATTCCTCCCAC